TGGCGGTGAGGGCGGCTGCGGCGGCTGCGGCGGCTGCGGCGGCTGCGGCGGTTGTGGCGGCGGAGGGAAGAGAGACGGCGGTGGAATCAGAGACGGCGGCGGGAGCTGCGACGGCGGAGGCACCAGCGACGGCGGCGGGAGCTGTGACGGCGGCGGGACTAGCAGCGGCGGCGGGAGCTGCGGCGGTGGCGGGGCCTGCGATGGAGGAGACTCCGACAGAGACTGCGGCCAGAGACACGTCTCTGGCCACGATGCGAAACACGACGCCTCCTCAAACGCCGCGTCATCCACCGCTTCCTGCTCTGCCGCCGCCTGCTCCGCCGCCGCCGCTTCCGCCGCCGCCAAAAACCGCTTTTGCGCTTCCCGGTTGCGCTTTTCTGGCCGCCGCTGTTTCCGCCCCGCCTTGGCCGCCCCCGCCGTCGCCTCCTTCGCAGTCGCCGCCTCCGCAGTCGCCGCCTCCGCAGTCGCCGCCTCCGACACAATGCCCGCCTGCAACTTGTGTGCGCTGGGGTCCAGCCTAGCGTTCTGGCGCTTTTCCCATGCGGTCGAGCCCGTGGCCAGGGCCGACGCCTGGAGATACTGCTTGCCGCCGAGAGTGAGAGAAAGAGGCGCGTCGCCTGGCAGCTTTTGCCCGGGGTACTTGACCACCTCACCGTCGGTCCACACGTGCCCGGCCTTGACGAGCTTCTTCGCATCGTGTTTCGCCTTGCAGTGGCCGCGCTGCACGAGGAGAGTGTCCACTCGGCACTGTGGAGCCTGGATACTCGCAGTCGGGCCGTCAACGCGAAAGTGGGACGGGTACGCGCGCAAATAATCCTCCAGCCGAGGCAACTTGACCGTCCGGGCCAGAAACGGGTAAGACCACTGCTGCGCATTGGTCACCTGCTTGCCCTCCTCGAGGGCCGCGCCGAGCACGCTGCGAACCAGCGCCCGTAGCGCGGTGCCGTGTTTGTTTCGCACATACACCATCACACCGCTCCGCTCCTCCCCGACGAGGCGGCGCACCGCCGCCACGACATGCGGCAGCGGCGCGGGGCCGACCGCGGCGGCCTTGAGCACCTCGAGCGCTGGCCCGAAAGATTGGTTGGTCGTGAGGTACTCGGCCGTCGCCGTGAGCGCGGCCGCGTGATCCTCGGTAGCAGCCGCCTCGGTAGCAGCCGCCGCCGCTGTCGCCGCCTCTGCGTGGACAACGACGGCTGGCGCTGCCGGTCCCACTGCCGCGGCCACAGGGGGGCCGCCACCGCTGCTGTTGCTGCCGATGCTGCCCCCGACCACTGCGGCTGGCTTGCGCGGGTCGTCGGGCAGATCCGCTTGGCCGCGCGCATAGGTGTCCTCGCGCGAGGACGCGAGGGCGCTGCAGAAGGCGGGCTTGCGTGGAGGCACGCCACCAATGAGAGGGCTGTAGCCGGCGGGCTGTGTCAGCCGCCCCATCGCGGCGTCGGGGTCGGACGCGGCGGGAGAGGGCCGGAGGCCCGCCGCCGCAGCGTTTGGGTCGGACGCGGCGGGAGAGGGCCGGAGGCCCGCCGAGGCAGCGTTTGGGTCGGACCTGGTGGGAGAGGGCCGGAGGCCCGCCGCCGCAGCGCTAAGAAAGTCGAAGCTGCCAAGGAACTCCGAGGCGGTGAACCCAGAAGAGGGCGCCGGAGGCTGGCGCGGCGCGGGCGGCGGCATAGACTGCGATAGGGCGCTCTTCAATCCAGAGGCGAGGCACCCCGGCGGCGAGGGCGGCGGCACAGCTTGTGAGAGCGCGCGCTTCAGTCCTGACGCCAGGCCGATCGCAGGCCTGCCCGGGCGATCCAGTCCTCCTGAGCCGATGGACGCTCGGGCGTGCCCCGCCGCCCGCCGCTCGTCACGCCTGTCGAGCTCCACAGGACCGCTGGCGGAAGCAGCGGGAGCGCACACGGTGCCGGTGGAAGGAGCGGGCACGGCCGCAGCAGCAGGAGCAGCGGCGGCGGCAGGAGCGGGAGCAGCAGCGGCGGCGGCAGGAGCAGAGGCTGGCTCTGGGAACGCGAATATCGGCAACTTTGTTGGACGAGCCGGCACGCCCAACTCCATGCAGCCGGATGCCGCGCGGGAAAGAGAGCTCCCGTAAAGTCGGCCTTGTGCACGCAAGGGAGGAGGAGAGGTTGGGGGGGGGGGTTGCTGACGGGTGCAGGCTGCTCACCTGGGGCGGCGGAGCAAATGAAGGCGACGCCGCTGGCCCGGTCGGCAGCTGGATGAGGTCGTGGATGCTCACGCCCTCCGCACTCTCCGAGAGCTGCAGCCGCGGGCGGGCCCATCACAGCGCATCCAGACGACGCGCTCGAGCAGCGTAAACCCTTTGCAAAGGCCTTTGCCGACGCGGCAGTCCTGGCCAACCTCCCGCCAGCCGAGGAGCTGCCGCATGTTGCCCAGGTTTGTCGACGTCAGCTTGTAGGCCGCGCCGAGGCGTTTCAGCGCCGGCTCGTCCTTGTCGGCGACGAAGTGCACGTGGAACGTCGGCGAGAGGAGCCACGCCATCCTTCTTCGCAGGGCCCCGGCGTTCTTCGCAGGGCCCTGCGTTCTTCGCCTGGCCCTGCCTCGTGGAACGACGTGAAACGCTCATTTGGCTCGGGTGCTGCTCCTGACCTTAGAAACGCTCAGCTCTGGCCGGACGATCCGATCTCAGGAGATCTCCCCCTCATCTCAGGAGATCTCCCCCTCTCTCCCCGGAGGCCCGCGCACCGGAGGCGAGGGCGGGGGCGTCGCCCGAGCAGCCACGCCGGAGCCGCGGGCGCGTAGGCGACCGCGAATGGCAGCGCCCGCAGAGGCAGCGACGGGAGGGGCGTCGCATGCACAAACGCCAACGGGGCCGATGCTACTGGTACGGTAGCTCGAAGCTCTCGTCGTCGAAGCGGTCCTCGACCACAGCCACCGAAGGTGGCTCCGTCAAGGGTGCACACGCGTCCCAGTGGCGGCCGTCATCACGGCTGGCAGTGGCTCTGCCGCCCGCCGTCGAGCGCGCAGTCCGGAATCGAGCGCGCAGTCTCTGCGGAGTATCCGGAATCGAAGCCTGCGCAGCACGCGACTGCGGCGATCGGCACGCTGCGCGAAGGACGCGAGGCCTTCGTCGTTGCTCGTCGGTGCCGGCTGTGCTCGGGAGGCTCGAGCTTTCGTCCCGCCTTGGACACTGAAACGCGACCACGGCTGGCTCGCGATCACACATTTCACGGCATAGAATTTTACAACCAAACTACCTAACCTACGCAAACTCCCTCGCACAACACTGGGCACGGGACTGGCGCGCACTGGCACCAACACAGGTACACCATACGGCATAGAAATCTCGATTGACTAACAGGCGGCGGGTATTGTATATCGACAGTGGGGTGCATCACGCTTGTCCCTCCTTACGTGCAGGCCCGCTTGTCCCTCCTTACGTGACCCGGAATCCCACCTTCCCACGGTGAAGGTGAGCCCCGGGCCTGGAAGGGGTGCACTAGAGCCCAAGGGCTGCACCACTCACCCGGGCCGCCAGGCGGCGCGTCGCAGCCCTTGCGACACTGCCGCCCGACCGGTCGGGTCCGTACCTTACTTCATGGTGTTGAGGTACGCGACGACATCGACACGGTCCTGGTCCTTCTTGAAGCCGGGGAAGGCCATATTGGTGCCCTTGATGTACTTCTTCGGGTTCTCCAGGTAGGCGACGAGGGTCTGGTTGGACCACTGGATGCCCGAGTTCTTGCTGGCCCCTGTGTACTTGAACCCTTGCACCTGGCCGCACTGGCGGCCGATCACGCCGAACAGGTTGGGGCCCTGCTTGTTGGGGCCACCCTCATTGCACGTGTGGCAGGTGTTGCACTTCGCCTTGAAGATCTTGGCGCCGGCCGCGCTATTACCCGGAGGTAGCGGCAGCTCCTGGTCATCCTTCTTCAGGTTCCGCTTCCTTGAGAAGAGCCCCCTGGCGGCGCGAGAACAGCCGGGCGGAACGCGCGCGTGGGCGAGAGGCACGGGGGCGGCGCGTGCGGCGCGCGTGCGATGCCGCCGCGCGTGCGGCGGGTTGGGGCTTGGGCGGGCGGCGGTGATACATTTTGCCAGCCGTGTGCCTGTTGGCCGCGGGCTTGACGACTAAACGGCCGGATCGGCTGCGACGGACGGGAGGACGGACGGCCAGGGTCTCGCATACCGGTAACCGACATCTTATTAGGGTCAGAGAGTCCAAGCCGTTGTGTGCAGCTTTTAACAGCAAATGGTCCGGTTTGGGCCGAAACCAAATGGAGAAATCAGCGGTCCGTCGACCCGAGCTCTCGGTGAATCAATGCTTTGGGTTCTTCGGGCTAGGGTTAGGGTTAGGGTTGGGGTTAGGGGTTAGGGTAAGGGTTAGGGTTAGGGTACGTTGGTTGTCGTCGCACGCTCTCGATATCTGGCTAAGACGAGACACAGCATCAGAGGCGACCCAAGCGACACACCAGAGCACGGCCGGGGACGCGAGCCGCCATCTTGGACTGTGAGGCGAGTATTTGCCACCGGGAGCTCGCCGCCGCCCCTACACCGCCGCCGCCGCACTCCCGAGGCCAGATAATAGCCCAAGTCGAAGAGTGCGCCCCGCCCTCGGTATCTGGGTGGCAGGCGGGACTAGAGAGGCACGCCAGAGCACGGCCGGGGGCGCGAGCCGCCATCTTGGACTGTGAGGCGAGTATTTGCCACCGGGAGCTCGCCGCCGCCCCTACACCGCCGCCGCCGCCCTCCCGAGGCCAGATAATAGCCCAGTCGAAGAGTGCGCCCCGCCCTCGGTATCTGGATGGCAGGCGGGACTAGAGAGGCACACCAGAGCACGGCCGGGGACGCGAGCCGCCATCTTGGACTGTGAGGCGAGTATTTGCCACCGGGAGCTCGCCGCCGCCCCAACACCGCCGCGCCGCCGCCCTCCCGAGGCCAGATAATAGCCCAAGGCAAGTCGAAGAGTGCGCCCCGCCCTCGGTATCTGGGTGGCAGGCGGGACTAGAGAGGCACGCCAGAGCACGGCCGGGAGCGCGAGCCGCCATCTTGGACTGTGAGGCGAGTATTTGCCACCGGGAGCTCGCCGCCGCCCCTACACCGCCGCGGCCGCCCTCCCAATGCGTCGAGATACTCTCGACTGCAAATACTCGCCTGCTGAAAGAGTTCATCCCACCATCGGCACCGTATTCGCAGCACGCCAAGATATTCATATTGGTCTAGTGCACACTTCAGCTCAGCGTGACCAATGTCCATGGGGTGGAGCCAACACTTGCAAGTGTCAGAGTGTCAGAGTGTCGGAACTTGGTGGGAGCATCCGTCCTTGCTCACGTTCACACTCGCTCGGAAAAGTGAAATTTCGTTTCACATGAAATGTGAAGTGAAAGTGAAAGTGAAATCGATTCGCTGTTTCCATGTGAAATCACGAACCCTGGGAAGGCCGCGACCGGGATTTGGTCCCGACACTTTCCTACAATCGCTGTGAACCCAGCCACGTATGAAGTGAGAAGTGTGTGCAGTGTGGAGACTGTGGTGTGGGCTAGTTCCAATTCACTCTGACACGCTAATCTTGAAAACGCGTCCAACGGAGCTCCGTGTTGCTCCCAGCGGAATCCCCCGCGCTTCTTGCGGCCATGGCCGATGATACTAGTATGAGAGGTCATCTGGCTACCGCGAGCGCGACTCAACTCGCCGACGTCGTCCAATGATTGTGCCTCAAAGTCAGCCTCCGGAGGCTATCGTGGGGTCGAGCCGGCGGTAGCCGTGACATGTGGTTCCACCACCCCTCGCAGGCTTTGCCTCTGACCGCCACCGTTCCCAGGCTGCCTAATGGGATGGAAAGGAAGGCTGGGAGAGCGTATAGAAGCGTGCTCGACCTCGTCGTGGCAACCTGCACGGCAGCGCTGGTAGGCGCGATGAGCGTCGTGCCACCTGACCCAAGACGGGTCGCAGGCGTCGTACTGAGCGTGTCGAGACCGTGTCCTGATGTGCTCTGCACGGGTGAGTCACGTCGGCGTCAAAGGAGCGACGTGCGACCTGTCAGAGCTTGATCTCCGATCTCAGCGGCGTCGAGTCGTCTCCGGCGCGCGACAAAGGTACATACCCAGGACGCGCAGAGGCAGCTGCGACCCCGCCGAGTGGACGGCGGCACACCGCGCCACCTGCTGTGTGCCGCCGTCTACTCAGTGGGGTCGCAGCTGCCTCTGGAAGGCACCGAGATGTACCTTTTTCGCGCAATGGTCAAAATCAAGGTTTTGTAACGCGAGCTGTGCCACAGTGAAATGGAACTAGCCGTGGGGGTCTGTGCACTGTGGACGCGAGATAGATCGAGGAGGCGGAGGGAGGTGTGAAGCGGTCCACGCACCACGCAAGTGTTTTCTGACGGTCACTCCTTAGCCCTGGCGGCCGCCACGGCCGACAAGGACTCGCGCAAGCTGGCGACACACACGCGCTTTGCGCCGGAACAATCACGCGTGCCTCTGCCCCCGCACAAGTACAGTGTGCGCGCGGCCGCTTGCGCCTGGCGGCAAGAGCCCGCCTCGGCCGCCCCCGTCACGGCGCGCAGCCGCCGCCCGGAGCGCCGCCCGCGCTCTCGCGCGCGCCGCGCCCCACGCCGCCCTCGAGAACTGCCTCACGCCGTCGCGGTGTCCGGCGCCTCGAGCTCGAGCTGCGCGCGGAGCAGCTCCTCGCGCTCCCAGCTCTCGGCCAGCCGGGTGAGGGCGCGGAAGCACGCCTCGTACGCCACGAAGGTGACCGCAGACGACGGCGCCACCTTGAACCGGGCGCATGTCACCTCGGGCATCTCGGGCGATCTCGTTCGATCTCGGGCGATCTCGGGCGATCTCGTTCGATCTCGGGCGATCTCGTTTCGATCTCGTTCGATCTCGGGCGATCTCGGTCTCGGCCACTCTCGGGCTGTCGCCTTGAAGAGGCTCAGCCCGAAGCCCTTGTACAGCCCTCTCCGCACCCCCTCCTCGCGCGCGATCCGAACCATTGCGGCCAGCGGGCAAGACGCACTGCGGCACGGTCGAC